ACAGGCAAGCGTTGCACAAAGAGGAATTCACCTATGGAGAAATTTCTGGCACAGTCGTCGTGCAGCCACAAAGTGAACTGGGGCTGATAGCGAGAGCACTCCTGATGCAATACTGCTTCCTGCAACGTGGTACTGCTCCATCCTTAGCCTGACTTTGCAGCAGTAGCCGTTTGTAACCCAGCGGTGGCATGTGGAGACCACAGCCCAGGTTTTGGCTTTGAGGAGTATTTTTTTTTGTTGTTCACATTTCTCCCTTCGCCAGTAGCAGTGCAGCATCCTCCTCTCCTGTGCGTGCTCAGATACAATTTGGGATTGTAACAAATCCTGTTGCTTCTGCTGCAGTTCTCAAATTCACCTAGCTAGTCTATGTTGTATTAGCAATAACAATATAAAACTTAATGAATTAGAATGTGTAAAGGAGGTTTCAGAGCATTACTGATTGACTTCACTGTATGTGTCCTGGACTGGAATTTACCTGTAGACCTTCCACCAGAAACGGACTGGGACTTTGTTCTCACATGTTTTGTCTCTCCAAACAGGTGGGTACATGCAGCCAGGCGCTCGAGAGAACATCGCCTACCTTACTCACACCGAGCGGAGGAAAGACTTTCAGTACGAAGCCATGCAGGAGCGTCGGGAGGCTGAGAACATGGCCCAGCGCGGCATCGGCATGGCCGCCAGCTCTGTGCCAATGAACTTCAAGGACCTAATTCAGACAAAAGCAGAGGAGCACAACATCGTTTTCATGCCTGTGATTGGAAAGCGGCACGAAGGGAAGCAGTTGTATACATTTGGACGGATTGTCATTTACATTGACAGAGGCGTTGTGTTTGTACAAGGAGAAAAGACTTGGGTGCCAACCTCTCTCCAGAGTCTCATTGACATGGCTAAGTGAGGCTCCCACTTCGAACTGTGAAGACCATCTTGCTAATATTTTTAGTGTAACTGTCTTAGAATAAAGAAGCTACAGATTTGTAAATAGAGTGAAACCGTAGCTGTATGCCAGGGTTTTTTTCTTAAAAGAGCTGTTCAGGCAGTGTCAAGAGATGAAATCACACATGGAAGTTGGTGCGAAGGGAGGAACAAGCAGTTCTGATGCTTGTGTAATTGCCACCCGTGACAGAGGTTTATCAGCAGGTTAGGAGGGACCACAGGAGGTGATTCTCTGCTCCAACAGCAGATGAGCGAGGGCTGGTCTAGCTGAGTCCTGAAGGTGACAGAGATGTGACAGCTCTGGCAGCGAGTTACTGTCCTGACAACATCCCTCACCCAGTGGGCTCCTCTCTACCACGCACAGCTGGGACTCATCCCACCTCTCCCCGGGTGTGGTGGTGGCTCCTTCAGCCTGGTGCCTGCCCACAGGCCGTCAGCTGATCCGGGTGCCCTCTCTGCCCTGTCAACGCAGAGCTGGAAGGGGGGAGATTTTTTCCAGCAAATTCACAGAACGTGTCCTGTGGGACCGCAGCAGTTCAGGGCACAGAGGTGAGGGAGGGAAACGGAGGCTTTTTGTCCCTAGAGGGAGATGACCTGATTCTTCATAGAACAGATAAAGTGCTGATTTCAGTAGCGCTGAGCAGCTGAAGGCCTCTGCCAGTGAGAAAGCTTTTCTAAGCCTGCATTTGGAACTAGACGCCAATACCTTCAACTACAACCCCCTCTCAAATAATCCCCCCTTCCCGATGCTTCGAAATGCGCGTAGTACACGCAAAGGCTTTGAATTGTTTATGAAAGAGGAGGGGATCAAAAGAGCAATCATTATGCAGTACGGATGGCTTAAAAGGCAGGTTTTAGTTAAATTTGTTCGCTGTAGTTAAGTGAGCGTAAGTCAAAGCACAGCTTTATCTTTTATTAAGTAATTAGGATACAAAAATGTCCCATCACGCTCAGTGTTTGGGTGCTGCCGCTTTTGGCGGAGCACGACGATGCTGTCGGTGCTTGAGCTTCATCTCAGCTGCGTAGGAGCTACTGTGGGACAAGAGACAGCCCCAAGGCCCCACCCCTGCTGCAGAGAGTGGTCGGGACTCCGCCGGTCAGCTCTGTCCTCCTTTCTGATGATCTCCAAGTTGTCACAGTCTTGGTACGTCGGCTCCTCCGCGAAGTCCCAGACCTCGGGGGAGAGTTCCTTCAGTTTTTGTATGGGAAACCAGTGGACGGAGGTGTCGTTAAATGTGTCCAGGTACCGAGGGTGAGCGGGGAGTGCCACTTCTTCTGTCCCTTTCAAGACCTAAGGAGCATTTTGGGGAAAAAGTTAACGTACGACGCAGAAGAACTTTTCTGCAAAGTTCAGTTAGGAGTCGGTGAAGATGAGGATGGTGTTACGTTAACCCAAGCCCTGTGTGCAGCGTGTTCTGCAGGTCATGTAGAATGATCCTAAAGCAATTCATTTTTCATATTGTAGTGGTCAGGAAAAAAGATTATAAATTGCAATGGGAAAGAAGAGGGTGGTTATTTTTATTTCCTTTCTCATTAAAAGGTGCTTTTAACGAGAATGTTACAATAATGTTAAAAAAACAATAATGTTAAAAAGAACTAGTGACTCATACCTTTGCTATGTAAGAATAATCTCTCTCCAGTATTCGTGACAGCAATCTAGAATAACACAAGGTAACCAGCATTAGACACATGACGCTCCCATCAATTTAGACAACTTTTCTGAACAGCCGTGTGGGATCGAAAAGGCGGGAGGTGGCTGGTGACTGCAAACAGGACCGCAAGTTGGAAGTGAGCAAAATCTGGAAAACGTTGTCAGAAGCAATACAGAAAAAGGCGTAAAGGAGGCGAGGAGAGGAGAACGCTGTTGGAGGCACCTGCACCTTTCCCTGTGGGGGCTGCACGCACCTCTCCTCGATTCCTTTAAAGCTGTTCCCGATGATGACCATTTTGGACAGTGCCCCTGCGGACCAGTTCCTCCACAGGAGGTTGTTGTACAGGGCTTTCCCGCAGTGCACCATGTAAAACAGCGTGGCCGATCCCTCAATGTCGTGTTTCCCCTCCTGCACGTAAACCAACGTTTCCCGTTACAGCCGAGCCCCGGCAGCGGGGGCTAAGACGGTGCCCCCGGTCCCGGGGCGATCCGGCCCCGGCAGCACCGGGGATGGGGGCCCAGCCCACCT